TGGTTGAAGTGCAGGAAGAATGGGAAATATGACAACGGAATACAGACATTACATCGTCTTAAGGACCGAAAAAGACGCAGACGGCTCGATCACTCACTGTGTGATGCTTGATTCAACGTGGACAGGCTTGGCAACTCGTTCAGAATAACTTAATTTAATGTACACTCATTTGCAAACTAATTTGATTCTTTCGAGAGACAACTGGAACCCAGCTGAATCACTCGTTTATGATATTCTCAGGAAACTGAATGTGCTGCACCAGGCCACCTCATGTTTCAGTCGCTACGATACTTGAAATATCGTGATACATACATACATCACAAAGATATACATTTATTGCGATATTTCAAATATCGTAGCGACTGAAACATGAGGCGGCCTGGTGCAGCATATTCAGTTTCCTGAGAAAACCATAAACGAGTGATTCAGCTGGGTTCCAGGTGAGTCTCTCTGAAGAACCAAATTAGTTTGCAAATGAGTGTATATTCGCTAATTTCGTGCAATTTGGTTTCAAGTAGAACATAAGGTTGACGGAATCCCGGAGACTGCACCTACCTGATGAGCCCGAAGGAAGGCGAAACTGGTCGTGGGCTATCGATGGATTTTCAGCAACCTTATGAGTAGTGCATTACAAAGATATAAATTTAATATGATTCACAATTTTCTGCTTCTGGATGCCGAAGCATTCTTGCCTGGTTCGTAAAAAACCACCGAACTACCAAGCCTGTTATCTTGCGGATGCAAGTGTTCCACGTATAATTTCCTGTCGGCTTCTTCTGTGTATGATTAAATGAATGTTTTTATCGACAGTGTTCTCAGATTTCGTGATTCGTGAGGAGTCATTGAAAGACTCCGGAAAAAACAAGTATTTTAAATAACCGGATTCAGAACCAATGGTGCAAAACTGATCTCCTATAGCACACGTGGGATACAACTGAATTGTGATCAGCATTCATCATTTGCGTGCTGAAGAGCAGAGGCTAGTTGGTTTGAACTTTTCCACAACATTGACATGGGCTGTCCGGTCTTCGGGACCTACTCCGCCAACGGATGCTCGTCCCGTTTGTGCTTGAACTTATTTTTGGCCTCCTTCAACCATGACAGCAGGCAGCGAGATCCAGAGATTGGAGACTTCGTGTGCTAACAAGAGGAACGCGACTGTGTGCATAACCTTACAGACCTCAAAATTATATCCTGTACGTCAGTCATATTTGCGTACCAGTAAATCCATGGCCACTTCGGCGTCCGTGAATTGTATTTGGGCCATCCCTTGCCCACTGATTGCTCTGGGGTCATTATGTCCCCCTGTGTATTTGAAAGCTCGATTACACAAACAACCACGACTCCAAGTAGCAGCGTCTACTTGACCAGACCTATCGACTAACAAAGCCAGATTCTTGTGAGGAAGCATGTCTCGCGTAGACGTCGCGTAGAGCTATCATCACATATTTTGGTAGCTTAAAATAAGTGCGCTGCATTAAACTCAACACCCAAGTCACAGCTTTTAAGCTGTAATGTGTCAGATGCACGGACACAAGCGGCAAAGCCTACCGAAAAATAGACCACAGTCGCTGACCTTGACATCAGAGAATGCAACTAGAGCCCTAGAGCCACTGAGAATATGAAAGTGCCACTATTCACCTACACTTGTCAAAAGTGGTCTCCCCGACTGCAGACGCAGTCGTCACCCATGTCAACAGCCAGATCCACAAATCCGATAACAACAGAACGAAAAATCCTTCACACGCAATTGACCACGCTGAGTGCGGGTGTCCCGAAAGACCACGCAGCCGTGAAAGAAGTGACTGCAGTCAAACAAACCACATAAGTTTCGCCCAAGCAAAAAGCTGCTGGCTAGCTTCAGGGTGTAAACCTCAGAGAAAAGGAGCCTCATGGGAATGCCATCAAGAGGAATTCCTCCTGCTGGTGCCACTAAAAGCATGGTCAAACCGCGCCAAAACGTCGAAGATGTCAAGCAGGCACATGACTGTCCTAAATCCTCAAACAACAACGAACTTTGTCGTCCCAAAAGCGGTCAAAATGTCCCCTCATAAGAGAAAAACTACATCATCTAAAGATAAAAGGCCGGCGCAAACCTGCCCATGGATAAAAAAATGTGAAAGTGAAAGGCAGCTCTCGAAGCTATCAAGACAGGAAGCAGGAATGTATTCCGCAGAGGTCTGTTGAGAGTTTTTGACCCAAACCCAGTGTACAGCTATTAAATCTGTTAACCTCTCTGACAACACACCTCTCAGCTCCCTATTTTAGGAAAGACCAAAGACAGTTTTGAAATGCTTGCCCACGAACTGCTCCAGTGTTTTCAACAAACGTTGCGATAACAAAACAGCAGCTCACCCTAAAGGGCCCTTCATAACCGCACTTACAAAAACCTTGAACATAACACAGGTCTCTGACGAGGAGATCTCGATAGATGGCCACCCTAATTTTTGAGCTGCTTTAAATTTAAATGCGGCCGTGTCCAACTTGATCATCCTCTGCCATATCGCTTCGGCACCTTTTTGGGATGCACTGCGGATCCAAATCCCGCTGCGAGGGATCAATTCTCTTCTCGTATGCTTTTGCCTTCCGAGTCATTCGAACGGTGGTCAAATCTTCAAAGAAGACCTTGGGCAACTGCCCTTTAGCTGACACTCAGGACAGCTGTTCCTGTTGGGTGTTGTTAACTTCCTAAAAACCTTCTGAATTGAGATTCTCAGTGTCATGTCTAGTGGACATTTTGCAGCGTCACTGTCAAAAGTCATTATACAGAGCGCTTGATCCCAACATGTTGTCGCACCCACCAGACACTGTGCAGGTCAACTACTATTGATCATGGATTCAGTCGTAACAAAGAAAGACACTTCATTGATCAGGTTTTGTTAACGCCTCACCTCAGGCAAATTCATCACCCTTCCGGTGACTGCTCAAGTCTCAAAACTGAACTGTTCTATTTTATGTGAAGTCGACCCTACCTCAACCGTTTTTCTATAGATGCGTCTGTTTACACTCATTTCTGGGCTTACTTTTGAACTGAACAACATTTTCCCGTTTAATTTGTCCAAAAGCACACTACCCTTTGTGTGCCATCCCGCGTTGCTAACTGCACACGGTTCAATCTAGCCATAAGCCATTTTTAATTCTCCTCACGCCTTACTCTTAATTTCCTATAGAACCAGGGTCTACCTATCTATACCGTCCGCCCACGTCCAATTCAATATATTGTTCACTGCCTAATTGCGACTACTGAACAAACGAAGGTTAAGTTCGTAGAGTTCGGTTTCTCCACAATTATTACTGACCACCCGTCGGTGAATTAGACTACACGTTGCCTGTCAGATAGGACACCTAGATCGTTCGTTTGGGTCAACTGACCAATTCCTTGCTTTGAGATCACGGCCTTAGCACGGGATCTTGCAGCACCCACGCCGTTTTGGGTTACAATTGAATACTACAAATAAAACTGGCGCCCAGTAAAACCAAGGTAAACCAGGCAAAGTCGAAAGATCCGATGAAGCTAGCAAGTTAAGCGCATTTGCTTATCACAAGCAGCACGCGCAGCACGGCTTTTTAGCTCGTTTTTCCCAAGGAATCAGGGACCATCTCCTTGTAACCGTTTATTATCTGTAACACAGGCATGAGTCTACCAAGTTTTTGTACTCTGGGCTTCCGTTAATCAAAAGCTAAAGGAAGGAGTGCTAAACAGCTTAGGGGCCCCGTTCTCCAGAAAAATCACGCCAGCGAAGCTGGCACAGTCGATCCTCAGCAAGCCTGATAAAACGCTCCACGCAGAATGGCTACGCCAGAAGGGAAGTAAGCGAACCCTTGGACTTCTAGTCACCCTATCTTCCCCGTCCGACGTACAGGCGATCTTGGAGCGGGCTGGCAGCATTCAAAAGGCCAACCCAATGATCAGGCGCCTATCTGAGGATCGTCCTCTAGACGCGCGCAAGATTGGTCACAACAGGTCAGGAGTGGAAGCACGAAACAGGCTTCCACCGGGCACTAAACCAGACGACCCCAAACTCATGACCAAGCCGATTGTGGTCATATCCCCCTGTGCTCCCGAAAGCAGGCCGATGAAACCAGCTGGTTCTCCGGACAGCAGTTTTTATTCGACCACCACAGGCCTCTCGCCCACCAAAGGCAGGGACGCCCTGGAGGAGACAAATCCCACATGCAAGCAGCGCCCAAACTACGTGGAGCTATCAACGCTTATCTCCGTATCAGAGGGCACAGCTGCAGCCGCGCACTCGTCAACAAAGTCACAGCCCCTGAACTGGACTGAGTCAGATGTGCGGGGACAAGGAGCGAAGCCAATCTCTAGCTCCACTCCGTCAAAAGCTGCATCCCTGCTTGTGGACCCAACTGTCGCCCAGTACCCCGACACCCAAAGCCACAAACATGACTACAGCCATCCGGAAAATCCCTCGTACATCCAGTTGTCCACGCTGATCGCTGGCGGATCGGGTGTGCACACAAACACGGAAGAAGAGCGACTGCAGCCAAAAAAGCCATATAAAACTCGCCATGTTAGAAAACTGCTGGCTGGCTTCAAAATGCAGTCCTCCGGGAAAACGAGCTTCTTGAGAGCGCCACCAAAATCACTACTTCTTGGTGCCACCACTCAACGCTCAGCGCCTCACAGAGACACTGTTCCGGTCAAACCGCGCCAAAATACCCAAGGATTCAGAAAGGCGAGAGTTTGAGGCAAACCCTTGATCAACATCAAATCTGGTCGACGAAAAGGGGATGCTGACGGGGCTACAAACAGCATCGGTCGAAATTTTCGCCCAAGGGGAAAAACTCCGTCCCCCAAAGTTAAAAAGCGCGAGCAAACCGAGCTCTCACGGAACGAAAAAACCCCGCAGGCGAAAAGCACCCCCAGAAACCACAAAGACTGGAAGCAGAAAACATCGCCCCAGAGGCCCCTTTGGAGACTTGGACTCAGACAAAAACCTGGTGCCCAACTATTAAGTCTGCTAACCACCCTGGTCACTCACCTTTCGGCTCGTCACCCTCGGAGGCAACGGAGGCAGTGTTGAAATGCTTGTACACAAACTGCCTCAGCCTTTTCAACAAACTCAGCGATGTTAAACGGTCAGCTTGCCTTGAACAACCGCCCATAATCGCACTCACAGAGACCTGGCTCACACCAGATGTCTCTGACGCGGAGATCTCGATAGACGGTTACTCTATTTTTCGAGCTGACTCAAAAAGAGGGAAGGCTGGTGGGGTTGCTCTGTACTTACATGCGGCCCTACCAATCCCGATTGTACTCTCTGACACCACCCCTGCACCCTTCTGCGATGCACTGTGGGTCCAAATCCCGCTGCGCGGGTCCGATTCTCTCCTTCTCGGCGTGGTCTACCGTAGCCCTTAGAGTCCCCCTGAAGATGACCAAGTCCTCATACAGACCCTTGAGCAACTCTCCTCCAACTACCATTTCGCTCTTCTTCTGCTGGTAGGTGATTTCATCGCCCCAAAGGCCTCCTGGGTTGAGCTCCAGCGCGTCGAATCAGGCATAAGTTTTGCAGCGGCGCTGTCAGAACTCGTCCAACAGAGCGCTTGGACCCAACATGTCGCTGCACCCACCAGATACCGCGCAGGCCAACTACCATCCCTCTTGGATTTGGTCATCACCAACGAAAGACACTTC